GCGGCTCCCCGCTTATGCTAATGAAGCCCGGGAAATTCAAATCCCGGGCTTCATTAGCACTATGGGTATGTCTACACTACCCCGCTAGTTCGAACTAGCGGGGTAGTGTAGACATACCCTAGGCTACCACTCTGAAGCTTTTAATGACTGTTACTCAAATAGTATTATTTAGTTATCTTTCGTTCTGAAAAACTGGTACAGGTAGTACAGGTAGGCGTCTTAGTCTTTTTGTCATCACAATAGCTTACAAGCCTAAGGAAAAACAATGTTTTTGTATTTTTTCAGTCTCAAGTTAATTCATTTAAAAGCCTTTAAACTCAAATATTTATTCTGGCAGCTGCAAATTAATATATGAAAGTAATTTAAGACCTATAGGAAAACTCAAAACCAGCAAAAATATTGCATGCACTTAAAAAATAAATTTAAACATAGTAAATATATTGTGAGATTGTATTATTTATTAAACTGATTATTACTGGACCTGTGCATTTTTACGTGTGTGTATACAAATCCAGTTAAGACTTTGACATCAAAGAAGGGATTCTTTAGATTTGTCAAGTGTTCTATTTTTCTTTTTTTCAATTTTTTAATAGAAGCCAATGGAATTTAAAAACATGGATATCTTGAATTACATTCATAGGGTCACAGGAGCTTTTCTATTAGAAACAGTTTGCAATTATTAGTGACATTACTATAAGCCTACTACTGGTGTTAAATCAGCTTCTATTTAATATCTCACTTAATTTATCTGTTAGTGGACCAATTACTTGTGTATTGAGGCAGTTTGTTTCCTTCAGCGTCTCAAAAATTATTTTAGATCTTCACCTTCAAAGTTACAAGTCCCCTCCTTTTCTTGTCTTTGTTATCTTTCAGAGTATGTCTACACTGCAGAGTTTTTCCAGAAAAAAGGCTGTTTTTTCTGGAAAAACTACACTTACATCCACACTGTTATTGCATTCTTTCGACAGAAAGTCAAAAGAACGTAGGGGTTTTTCTGACAGACGTAAACCTCTCTTTATGAGGAAGAAGCCTTTTACTGAAATAGCTCTTTCGGAAAAAGGCATGTGTGGACGGAGAAGAGACGTTTGTTTTCTATAGAAGAGGCCTCCAGGAAAAAGCACAGGTGCCCTGTTGGCCACTCCATCCATAGTAATCACAACTTAAATGTGACATAGTGTCCAATCAATGTGGACACTATCTTTCAAAAAAGCAGATAGCAAAAGCGCATACAAAAAGCAATGTGGATGTTCTCTTTCAAAAGAAGTTTTTCCAGAAGATCTCGTCCGGAAAAGCTTCTTCCGAAAGAAGCCTGCAGTTTAGACATAGCCTCCGTTAGTTCATGCTCATTGTTTAACCTTTTGATGAAAAATTATTTTCCTTGTACATTCCAGCAAGCCTAAATTTCATCAAACCAATGATTGGGGGATTAGTTTGTCTTTATCAACAATAGATGTTGCAATTATAAGGTTTTTCTAGAGCTGCTCAATTTGTTCCTAAATTTGTTTTTTGATTAATGAAGACTACCTCAATCCACTGATAGTACAGGACCAGATTGATATCTGTCTTGGGCTATCACACAGGAAAATAAGTGTGTGCATGGCACTACTTTATCTACCTGAATGGGCTATCTCTATTGCAGTGTGTTGCAGAGAGCATCCTCTAAAATTTACCCCTTAGAGGTTTTATATGAATAGATACTGCACCCATATGTTTTTAAAAATCAATTTGGTTTTATATTATAAACAAGGTGAATGATTGTAGATAAATAATGACTTTCCCACATTTCTCACAGGAAACTGCCACTAAAAGAAGAAAATGGGAAAGAAGCTTTAAATCCAGAAACTATAGAAATCAAAGTTTCTAATGACATCATCCAGTCAAAAGAAGATGATAGCAAAGCATAGAAAGATGACTACAGCTGTCGGGGGGAAAAAAGCATTTGGATTGGAGTAACCCTGTGACCAAAACTCTACAGCTGACCTTAATTTCTTGGGCAACTTAAGCTTGGAATAGTTAGTACACCTGTACATAGGATCAAAGTACTTCTGTCTACAGTACCTCTCTATTTTGTTTTGTTAATGTTTTAGTATGTAGTTCTGGCTGACCACAGTCCCTTGGTATCAATCTGAATCTGCAAAAAAGTATGGTAATTTATTATATTACAAAAATGATCTATTTATAAAAACACTTTTACCAAGTTACCCCCAGCCACAGACAACGCAACAAATAGCTCCACATCCTACAAATCAAGCTAAATACATGAAAGAAAGTGCCATGTACTCCTGTATTTATTTTCATTGGTAATAGAGCAGAGGGTTTAGGTGGGCTTTAAAAGAAGGGGAAAAACAAACAATCTCAGTTAGAAACTTGAGACAGAGGGCTGGCAAAGGCTGAGTAGCCACCTCTGCTGCTTTTTGTCCTTTGACACAAAACAGAAACACTGACTATTAGATGGGAAGAGACCTGCACATTGGTTCTTAAATATATTACAAGGCTAATAAATATGATGTACAGATTTAAAATAAATATGGTTCAATATTTTTTAGAAAAAAAAAGGCCTCATCTGGACTACATGAATGTTTGACCCTGAAAGGCTACTGGATTTTCAGATATTCTGTGTTAATGTTTGAGAGATCATGTGTGAATTAAAATGTGGAAACATATTTTGTGTGTGAGAAGAACACTGATTTATGATAATAGCTTTTGGCTTCAAATGAAATCTTAAAATAAACATGAACTCAAATTAGTTGCCTCCATGTACTTATAAATATATATCATTCCTTCTTTTAACCACCTAGTCAAGGAATAAAGTGTTGCATTGCAGTATAACAAAGGAGTTGTTCACCTCCATCTTGTAGGCATGTTGTTAATCAGTTGTCCTTTAAGCAGCACTTGTTTTGTAGCTTAGAATTAATAATTGCATATCCTTTGTATTAAAAAAAAACACATCAAGAAAGGAGGAAGAGAAGAACTTTGACAACATGGGTTAAGAACATTATAAAACTGCTAAATTTGCAGTATACAATAGGCTAAATATTTTGAGCTTCACAGTCCAAGACAAGCACTCTTACTTATACCAGCTGTGAAAGTTATAAGCTATTATGATCAGATAATTTACAACTTTGGTGAAAAATTAATCCTCTTCTATTGATGATTGCTTTTACATTATTACCAGTTGGAGGAATAATATTTTGTGCTTAATCCAGACTTCAGTATCCATCACCTTTTACACTAATCAGGAGCTGACTGTGGAAGAGGCAGATCTATTCAGTGAACAAACACTATCTAAAATATCTGTTCCTCAGGGGCTGAGTTGTGGATCATACCATTGCAGAACTTCTCCACATCTGAATATAGACCTGTTTTATGAATTTTAGCTCTAATCAGTGGGTGACACCCACATAGCCCACCTCTATAGTTGGTTCATGGATATAGAATTTTGACTATTCATTTTCCCAGGTGAAGGTCATGCAACTTTTAATTGATATGTGGGTGATTACGGCAAGTCAGATGATTTTGTGGCCAAACAGACTACAATCATGTTTGGGAAATTAACTGGAATTTGGGAGAATGATTATTTAACCTCCCTATTGGTTCAATCACTGATGTGTTTAGGGGAGCATCTGCTGGCATCCTTTCCTTAGGTTGCTTCTAAAACTGATGTATTACCCAAAGACGACCCAAAAATTTTTTAGTTTTTTTTTTCCTTAAAATACTCCTAGGTGGCCATCTAGTGGAGAATGCATAATGAGCCAAGAAGCCAGTGCAGACAATAGGGATGGTTGGAGAAGAGGGTTAAAAGAGAATCACGAGACAAGAAAGGGATAATTGAGGAATAGGGCAACTGTGAAAGATGCACTATGATTCTGCTGCAAGTCTCTCACTTTTAATGCTAACCCAAGGCCTCAAGGTCAAGGAAAGCTGAAGGGGGTACTCCTCAGAATCCTGCCTTGTTGCTGCGGTGCACTGAGCAGGTAGAAACACAATTAATAGACAGCCACTTGCCTGCTAATTTTCTCCTTCATTTCTTTCTGGAAGTGAGTAGTCAATGAGAATCCGGAGGAAGCTGAGTGGGACTGGCCCCTAGCTTGTAATTGACAGAGCCACTCCTCATACAGAACACAGTAGGGATGTAAACTCCCATTTAATTGGTTAACCAATTATGGGGAGGTGGAGTGAGGGAGCTGCTCCAGTCCAGCTAGTCTGGAATGTTCCCCACCCCCAAACACCACTTGGCTGGAGTGGCCCCAGCGCCGCGGCTCCTCTGGATGCAGCAGCAACCTCTCCCTGCACGGTGTGTGGGCCTGCTATAGACAGCAGTTGTTCTGGACAACAGAGCATCCCCTGTCTATGCTGGGTTCTCTGTGGTCTTGGAGCAGTCCCCTGTCAGTGGCAGGCTGGGAGCTGCTCCAGCCCCACCAGTTAACCCAGTTAATCATTCACATTCCTACCATGCAGTGAAAGTTTCTCCTACTGGAAAAATACTCAGAGCCAGAGTCCTCCTCCATTGATGTCCTTTTTTGTGTGTGTAAGCTAGAAACCAAGTAGTATCCTGAACAATTCAGGTAGCTTGAGGTAAAAGGAGAGGAAACAAGATTTGAGCAATTGTAGAAGAGAAGGTTGGGGTAGAGAGGAAAACAGTTAATCTCACTTGGACATGATGGCTACATCTAGACTGTCATGATTTTCCGCAAATGCTTTTAACGGAAGCACTTTTTGCAGAAAAGCATCCATACCAATCTAGACGCGGTTTTGTGCAAGAAAGCCCCGATCCCCATTTTCGCCATCGGTGCTTTTTTGCGCAAAACAATACCATGTTGTCTACACTGGCCCTCTTGCGCAAAAGCATTTGCGCAAGAGGGCTTTTGCCCGAACGGGAGCAGCATAGTATTTCTGCAAGAACACTGACAATCTTACATGAGATAGTCAGTGTTCTTGCGGAAATTCAAGTGGCCAGTGTAGACAGCTGGCAAGTTTTTCCGCAAAAGCGATTGCTTTTGCGGAAAAACTTGCCAGTCGAGACGCAGCCAGTTTGTGTAGTCTACTTTCTACACTGTCACTCTCCACAACAGCATTTTCTTTAGGCTCTTTCTGTCACTAGTACGCCAAATCCTGTCATCCTCACTCATGCTGAGCAGACCCTCACTATGCAAAAAATATAGTGTGGAACTAATGGGACCAGTCACACAATAAGTTCCCTTTGCTCTGTATGCAAGGTTGATAGAATCCTGGCAACAGTTGCTTGCCAGGAGGTTATTTCACCCTGAAATATTGTGGCCTCTGTGGCTGCAAAGCCTAGGAAACTTTCATGTTCCTTCATCTGTGAAGACAAATTTTGCTTAGATATGGCTCTAAATTAGGAGGAAGGAGAGACGTGAGGGGGGGAAATAAGTGCAAAGGGATTTGAAAATCTAAGAGGTCCATACAGCATGTTTATTATTGCTATGATTGTACTACACATTAAATTAAAAAAAACCCCTCTACAAACGTATTTTGTTATTCAGTATATTAATGGGAACTGAATAACTGCATGTTTGAATATACCAGATTTATTTTTTCTGAAGTTATGCCTCTTACCAGGGGTATTCTGTGATGGCCTTTGAATTACATGGAGTAAAACTAGTGAAGGACTATTCTAAGTATAGTCTTTGATTTGAAGTTTAAGAGGGTATCTCTTGCTCTTGGCATTGATGCCATGCAGGAGAAAGGCAAAACTGTACAAGTTTTTTTACAACATGAAAGAATGTACCAAAATATCTATCTTTGCTAATGTTTTCACATGAGGGACAGCTTGTAGTTTAAATTGTAAGATATGTGCAGAAATGGAATAACAGCATTTCTTTGTTTTTCTTTCGTATTCTAGACTGAAAATATATCTGTATAAATGTCACTTTTACTGTCTGAAAGTAATTTTAAGTGTTAGTATGAAATGACAGAAGAGTTGACTGAATATAACTATTGGTAAAATTAACCTGAATTGTTACACTGTTTTAGTTTGGGTTGGGGGCCAAGAAGTCACTTATATTTTTGACAGTTCTTGGAAGGTTAAATGAAACATGACAAAGACAATCTCTACTCAACAACAGATCAAGAGAAAAAGATTAAAAATGCTTAGATTTTTTTAAGTAGGAGATGCATTTTGATTTCTCATATTATTTTTTTAATTATTTCCGATTAACTTTTTGCAATTTAGCCTAAAATATATATTATGCAGAATATTTTTGTTGTTCTTTCCCCAACCCCAGTGATTTTTTTGGGGGGAGGGCCTGGGGCAGAAATATTTACTATTCTGGTGATGCTAATACCAGTTGTGAAAAAGCTGAATTTATTTAGGCCCTAATCTTGGGAGCTCCACTCATGCTGCACCCCATTTACTTCAACAGGGATGTGCAGAAGTAGAAGATTCTACTTGCTTGGAACAGTTAGGAGGATCAGGGCCTAATTTTTATTTTCTTTGTTACTATGTACAACTTTAGCATATGATAGTCATATAGAATGGTGGTTTTGACAACAGTTCATGACAGTAAATTCCATTTGACATCTCCCATCTTTGAACTGATAGTTATCTGAAAAGTGGCTTTCTTTTCATGATGATAATGAAATCGATCAGGTCCTTATTCATTAAGTGCCAATCATTGAACAGTAGTATTACAATCATGTCATTTTTTTCTGTTTCTTACAGCAGATAATCAAGATGTATTTGTGCCTTTGAATAGCATGTCACTCTGCTTTATTTAAAAAAAACAACCCTTCAGTAATTTGCCTAATAATCCCGTTTAGACGAATTGAAGTTTTACAGTGAAATAGTCCCCACCTCAGAAATACAAAATGTATCTAAGTTAAGTGGGCAGATTTTTTTTTTCCAAATCACTATCATATTTAAAACCTCAAACCTATAAAAGATTTGGAGAGGTAGCACTTTTTTCCCCGGTTTTGATGGTACCATTTTAAAATGTATTTATTCTAGGTAGAGAAAGATGTGTTCATGATTCAGATAATGGAAGGAAATTCCTTGTGAATGGGTATTTTGAACAAATGCCTCAAGTTGAAACTTTTTTGAGATTCTTTTAGGGATTCTCCAAAATGTTATTTGTCCTCCCAGTGCCTCTAAAATCTTAACAGTTTCTTTCAGATCTGGAAGGAACTCTGGATTCTCTTCCCACCTTTTTACTTACAGTAAAACCATTGTCTGCAGAAAAGGTCATGGCTTCACTATCTGTGTTATAACTGTTACTGGAAATAACATATTTATTTATTTAGAGTATTTGATATAGGTATTAGGCAAAATTTACCCCTTTGTAGAAAACCACCACCAGACCTAGGTATTATATAGGCACACAGACCCTAATATTGCAGATTGATCTGAAGGGTTGTGGAGCAGAATACCTGTGTAGATAACTATTGTGTGAAATCTTGGCTTTATTGAAGTTAATGATAAAAATCCAATAAATTTCAGAGTTCCAGGATTTTATCTATTGACTTCAGTGGGCTCCACATATGTCCAAGGATCTTCCCACTTGACTCACCTTTGAGAATCAGATGTGAGGGTCTATCTACACTGAAATTAAAAACACCCATGGCTGGCACATGACAGCTGACTTGGGCTTTCAAGACTTGGGGTAGGGGACCGAATAATTGCAATGTAGATCATAGAATCTTAGGACTGGAAGGGACCTTGAGAGGTTATCTTGTCCAATCCCCTGCACTAACGGTCGGATTACTACGTATTATCTAAACCATCTCCAACAGAAGTTTTCCTAATCTGCTTTTAAAAATCCCCAATAGTGGAGATGCCACAATCTCCCTAGGCAATTTACTCCGGTGCTTAACTACTCTGACTGAATTTTTTTTTCCTAATGTCAAACACAAACTTCCCGTGCTGTAATTTAAACCCATTGCTTCTTGTCCTTTCTTCAGAGGCTATGGGAAATAATTTTCTCTCTTCTCCTTTTAAACCCTTTTATGTAGTTGAAAGCTGATATCATGTGTCTGTTCAGTCTTGCCTTGTATGAGCTTGGGCTGGTAACTGGGCTCTAGGATGGGGGTGAGCAGATGGATCTAGTTCACAGATTTAGTCCTTGGGGCTGTCTCTAGACTACATGCCTCTGTCGTCAGAGGCATGTAGATTAGACACATAGGCAAAGTCAAATGAAGCAGTGATTTAAATGATCGCGGCTTCATTTACATTTACATGGCTGCCGCGCAGAGCCGACAAACAGCTGATCAGCTGTTTGTCGGCTCAGTGCGGCAGCCATGTAAATGTAAATGAAGCCGCGATCATTTAAATCCGTCGACGGAGCCATGTAGTTTAGACGTACCCTGGAAGGCCTCCACCTCCATGGTTACACTGATACCTGTGGAGTTGCAGCTCTTGTTGGCCATGATTTGCAGCCAACCGGAGCTGCAATCCTCCAATACCTGCAGAGGTGCAGGTAAACATAGTGGCAGCGGCCTCCAGGTAATAACCCTGCAGGCTGAAGTTCTTTTATTGCCTATCCCTGCTCTAGGACCTTGAGACAAGGGTGAGTCCTAGAACTTGGTCTGCAGCTAAAGTCCAAATGTCTATGCCACAGTCAAACAACTCTTTAACTTGATCTCTGTGAACCAGTCGGCTGGCACATGCTAGTCATGGGTATGTAATTACAGTGTAGCCATACCATAGGGCACACATGAGCCTTTTACAGGTTCTCTTCATCGGGGATATTTTCCTTATTAGAAGTTAGTACTGATCTTAGAATTGCATCACAATTTTATCCCATAATCTAGCATATTTTAAAAGTTAGTAAGGAGATGAAGAAATGTTTCTCTCTACGTAGCAAATGCCCTTTGTATAAAGGTAAAAGATAAAGTCTAACTAAGAATTTTTTTAACACTCAGTATGTTTTGCTGAAGTTTGTAGCAGTGCTAAGTGAACCCTAATCTACACTGGGAAGTTTTCAAAATAGCACCCCTTCTTTTGAAATAATAAACACAGTGTCCACACTATCATTTTGAAATAATGAGCTGGTTATTTCGATATCTGCACTCCTGCTTTCCCCAGGGAATAACACTTATTTTGAAATTGTTATTTCAAATTTAGTTATTTTGAAAAAAAATCCTAGTGTAGACATACCCAGGAAAAGCACCATGGTTAAGTCAATATTTCTGTTTTGTTTTTAACGGTGCTATAAAGAAAAAAGTCCACACTGCACTGAAACATTTTTTTCAATGCTAATATAATTTCAAGGAAACATCTAATTAAATTGACTGCTTTGTGGGGAAAAAAAACAGGTTTTAAGGGATTTGCAAAAATGTCACCATACATGTCAATGAGCAATTCATACAAGATTTGATTTGACGCAAAGATAAATCTTTTCACTTACTGCAATGGGCTTTGGATAAGGGCCTTTAAAGTTCATAGTATACCAATGTATCTTTCCTCCTAAAAGGCATTGTGAGCCCAATGCTGTTTGTTTTTCAAACTTGGACATTGGCCTCTTTTTGCCCAAGATAATGAATTATAAATGTGGGCTGCCATATATGTATTGGCAGGTTTTAAGTCACAGGTGGGACTGGGGAAATGGCAGGTTATACTAATGCAGGGCAAGAAAGCTGACAAAAATAAGGAAAGTCAGGAAAAGAGACAGCATGTTTAAATACAGCGCTACTTAGAAGAAGAAGCAGCTGCTTGGGATTAGATGTTGCAGCTAGCTCGGATGATGGCAGAAAAAACAGAAGACGTCTCTGGACAA